CGGGTTATAGTCATCAATCAATCACAGGGCACATACAACAGCTGAAATAAGTATTTAACATGTCACCATTTTTAATCGCATAATACATTACTAAAGGTGCTTTTGACATGAGATTTTCACCAGATGTTGGGAACAACCTTACTAATCCGTCCATGCAAAAAATGCAGAACAAACAAGATCAGAAATTAAGTTGTGTGTAATGTGAAATGACAGAGGGAAAAAGTATTGAATATACCACTTGACATATATTACTTTGTACAAAAGCCTTTGTTTGTAATGACAGCTTCAAGACACCTCCCGGATTGAGAAACGAGACACATTCATTGCTCTGGTGTGATTTTGGCCTCTAGATTATCAATTAGATTCAAGGCAAGTGCTTGGCTGAGCCATTCTAGCAGCTTTTTTTTTTCTTTCAAAGCAGTTGAGAGTTTCCTTGGCAGTATGTTTTGGATCCTTATTCTGCAGAAACGTCCACACTCATTTCATTTTCATCATTCTCGTAGATGGTAGCAGGTTTTTTTTTTTTTTTGTATCTAGAATGTCTCAGTACATTTTCCCATTTGTCTTTCCTTCAATAATGTGAAATACTATTTGTTGAAACTCAGCCCCACACCATTATGTTCCCACCACCGAATTTCACCGTTGGGATGGTGTTTTTAGGGTGGTGTGCAGTGCCATTTTTCTTCCAAAAGCGGTGAGCATTATGGCATCTGAACAGCTCAATTTTGCTCCCATCAGACCAGACTATATTCTCTCAGTAATTAACTGGCTTGTCCAACAGTTCAGCAAAGTTTCAATGAAATTAGATTTTTTTTTTGTTTTTTTTCCAGCATGCATACAGGCCGTGGCATTTGCCATTTTATGCTTCGCAACAATAAGTTTGCACTGGTCTTGCGACAGCTCTTTGCTCATGACCATGATGAGACATGTCTTTAATCATACCTTGGCAATAAGACCTTTATATAGGCCATCAATTAGGACTGAAACAGTTGATAGTTATTCATTTGCACGGACAAGGGGCTGGGTTGCTGTTTGATTATTGATGAGTTCTACGTTTTGTCTTGGTTTTCCCTTTCTCCATGTGTTTAATACTTTTTCCTTGTGTCATTTCACATTATTACACACAACTTAATTTCTGACTTATTTGTTCTGCTTTCTTTGCATGGATGCATTACTTTGGTTGTTTCCAACATCCATCCACCCATCCAATTTCCGATCCGCTTTATCCTCACAAGGGTCGCGGCGGGTGCTAGAGCTTGTCCCAGCTGTCTTCGGGCAGTAGGCGGGGGAAATCCTGAACCAGCCAATCACAGGACACACAAAGGCGAACAAACATCCGCGCTCACACTCACACCTAGGGACAATTTGCAGTGTTCAATCAGGCTGAATTGCATGTTTTTGGAATGTGGGAGGAAACTGGAGTACCCAGAGAAAACCCACGCAGGCACGGGGATAACATACAAACTCCACACAGGGAGCCGGGATCGAACCCACGACCTCTGCACTGTGAGGTTGACGCGTTTCTTTCCAACATCTACTGAAAATTTCATGTCAATAGCACATTTGGAATGTGTTTAGTGATAAAAATGGTGGTGTGTGAAATATTTATTTCAGTCATTCACACTCAGATTCACACCTACACACACTTTTTTTAGTGTCTTCAACTAACCTACCATGCATGTTTTAGAATGTGAGAGGAAACCTGAGCACTTGGAGAAAACAATGCAGAAAAAGCAAGAACATGCAAAGCCCATACAGGAAGGCCAAAGCCCACATTTGAACCAACCTCTGAACTGTGAGACGAATGTGCTAACTAGTCGACGAATGAGCCAATGAACTTCCTCACAGATTCCAAACACACTCACGCTAGGTAAGTGAAGAGTACTGTAATTTGCTCTCACAGTACGGTGTGATTTTGAGTGTGATCTGATTTGTTTGTATGTGCGCTGTGATGAGTTGCCAACCAGTCCAGGGTGTATCATGCCTCCCTTCCAGTCAGCTGGGATAGGCTCTGTCTCACCCTAGTGAGGACTAGCAATACAGAAAATAGATAGATGGATGCATGGGATCTCAAGAGGAAAATAAAATTTTTGGATGGGCCCAATGAGAGCCCAGTAGCGAGTAACAATCTCGGATGAGTGGAAAACTCGTGAAAATGGCTTTCCATTAAAGAGTGTTATGTCAAGTAAAAAGCAATTCTCTCACAACAGTGAGGCAGCTGTATTGTATAGAAAAATGTGATTTTCCAGATTATTAGTTTTAGGATGCGCACAAACATCCTAAAATATCTATCTTTTCTTTCGATTTCACCCCTGAACAGTGTTGTATGCGTGCCAAGAGCACAGATTATAATCCAACAGACACGTGCCATGATGAGCAACAGCTATAATGGCCCCTCATATGAACGAAACAGAAAACCCTCCAAAATGTGCTCATTGAGTACAAACAATTTAGGCACATTGTAACTCATCAGGGCGGCCGGTGGGCCAGTGATTAGCGTGTTTACCTCACAGTGCAGAGGTCGTGGATTCAATTCCAGCTCCGGCCTTCCTGCGTGGAGGGTTGTTCGTCTCTGTGTCCCTGCAATTGGCTGGAAACCGGTTCAGGGTGTCCCCCACCTACTGCCTGAAGACGACGGGGATGGGATCCAGCACCCCCTTGTGAGGATAAAGCGGATCGGAAAATGAATGAATGAATGTATTGTATAAATTCTGCATTGGCCGTCTGGGTGAATGTTCCGTTGAGTCCAAGAGAATCTGTCAGGAATAGACATGTCCACTTCAACGATAGAAAATGAATAAAACCATTTTTGTCTACACTGCCACTTTGTTATACAACATCTTTCATGTAAAAAACTGTCAAAGGCATACATCACATCTCTCAAAAGCATGTGAATACTTGTGTTACTGTTTGATGAGATGAATAAAGTGTTTTACCAAAATCTGTCATCCAAAAATAACTGGAAATTGGGCTTTATCAAGAGAGCTTGACTTCGGGCTTCATTCGAGGAATGTGTGCTACCTTTCACCTTAAAGTGTATCATATGAAGGTGAAGAAAATATATATCACTTTTCAGCACAAATCAACATTTGAATAATACAACTAAAACTAAAGTAGAGACAATAGTTTGTGAAAACGAAATCACTGCCTACCATGGCAGAGAACTGAAGAGGAGGTATGGGGTGCATTTTTGCAGCGTGTTGAGTACAGAAACTATCGAACATATGTATATCATTTTAAATTGCTTCTCCTGGCTCTCCAGATTCCCATTCTTTGCCAGTGTGATAGAGTATAGACAAACTCAAAGTTATCATGTTTAAAAGTTTCATTTTGTTGTATGCTTGATTGACCTCGAACGTGTGTGTTCACACAGCTTATTTTGTTGTATGTTTGATTGACCTCGAACGCGTGTGTTCACACAGCTTGTACACAATTAGAGCACACAGAAAAAAGGACCAACTTGAGCTGAGGCCTTGTTAACTGATAGTACAAACAGGAAGGTTCAACTTCGGGTGAGCAGCACGAAAAGATGTCCTTCAGTTTGTTACAGTGTCTCAATTCGTGCGAAATATACCCATTGAATTAACAAGGTATCCATTGTTTGTACAGGGAGGTGTCTTGGTCTAAAAATGTCTACTGAGGGGCGTGTAGGTGGACTGGGTTGAGAGGCGTGACATGTAAATGAAGAAGGGAGTGTTTTTCTGATATATCACTTGTAATTTGCATACACGATCAATAAAAAGCCGGCAGAGGCTGCAGAGGTCAGGTGTCAGTTGAGAAGGGCACACGGAGTGGCTTCAAAGAAAACTGCGCCTCCTGCCGGCAGCAAAGACAATCTCTTCCTGAGTCTGTTCAACTGTCCGAGCGAACATCTCTGACCGTGCCGTCGGTGAATTGTACATGAAACAAAGTTTGAATGAGAATAATCATAAGAAAGAAAGATTGAAGTCTGCTGACCCCTAACAACTTCGATGATGCAGGTCATGTGCCACCATTTGTTAAAGATGACCTGCTATTTGATTTCATTTTTTAAATACTTTTTTTGTGAAAGTGAAACTGAGTATCCTAACATAAAAATTTATTTTAATTACGTGCACACGGACACACTAATCTTTTGTTTTTCTTTTCCATTTCCCCCTACACCCCTCACAATTGATTTGGGACAAGTCCTCGGGCTACCGGTCGATCGCAATCGACGTATTGGGCACCCCTGCTTTTGGGTTTCCATCCAACCATCCATTATTTGAGCCGTTTATCCTCACAAAGGTCGCGTGCATGCTGGAGCCTATCCCACCCGTCTTCGGGAACTAGGCAGGGTACACCCTGAACTGGTTGCCAGCCAATCACAGGGCACACATAGACAAACAACCATTCACACTCCCAATCACACCTAGGGACAATTTAGAGTGCTCCATTAACTTACCATGCATGTTTTTGGAATGTGGGAGGAAACTGGATTACCCGGAGAAAACCGATGCGGGCACGGGGATAACATGCAAACTTCACACAGGAAGGCCGGGGCCAGATTTGAACCGTAGACCTCTGCACTGTGAGGCGGAGGTGCTAGCCAGTCGCTCACCCTCCTGTCTACCTTCGGGTAGTCTTTCTCAAATAGTGGGGCAGGCGCTGTGCCTCCAAGGGGAACAGCAGTGTAATGCCAGGATGGACACAGGATGTGACTTGGGTAAGATGCTTTTTTTCTCCCTCCAAGAATAAAGTATAAAATAAAAAATAAATAAAACATTACAGTATTTGGCAGTGGTGCCCCCTTTTATGTATTTATTTATTTGGATTGGTGGCAAATTGATGCACTTCCATATTGTTAGGCATTCTTTGTTGTAAATTGATGTATATTTCCTCGCGGTGGAGAGTGTTTTTTTTTTTTTTTTTTTTCCAGAAGGGGCGGTATGTTGGGTTGCAGAAAATAATGGGGAAGCAAAAGGGGGGGAGGGTGGACCGTTTCCCCAAAGGATTTGTAGGTAACGTGTCTTTAGGTGAGGTGAGCTGACTTGAAGGTCAGTACGCGTGGATGTTCAGGACGCTTCCCGTGACCAGATGTCCTGGATGCGGGAGTTGTGGCTCAGGGTGGCCTCTCCCTTTAAACGGTCCACAATGCCTTGCGGTGCCCCACTTCCAATGCGATGTGTGCGCCTGCTAGAGGAGAGAGGAGACAAGCGTAGGGAGAGGGCCTTATTTTCCCCCCGCAGTTCACTGGCGAGAGAGCAAAACACCAGCACACCTCCGAGTGTACCGAGTCAAACTTTGGGGCAGGGAGCTCGAACGTCCTCGTCGTTTTTTTTCGCCGAAACAAGTCGTTCGGGGGCTATGGTTTGGAAGGACACAATTTGCGTTATCCTTGCCTCTCCGAATGTTTCATCTGCAAACTTCACTTCGCAAAAGCAGCAGTGAGCCGAATCCTCTTTGCGCCAGAAAGGTAAGAGCAGTACATGGCGCTAATCAGAGTGGAATTATTGTCTACTACTGTTGTGTTGATTAAGGCTTTCCCCGGTAGTTTCTCCTGCCTTTGGCCACCAATAATGGAATATTGTTAAGGCTTTGAAGCAAGTTCGCAACTATTTCAACTTTCCCGCACGTAACATCAAGCGAATTCCGTTACATGCTTGGTTAGTGGGTGATGAGTTTCATCTCTTTTCAAGAAACTATCTTGGCCTTGGTTACTGGGTGTTGCTTTATTTCTTTCCACCCATGCTTGCTCATGAGAAGACAATCACTTCATCTCGCACTAAAAAGAAGAAACAGAAGTAGCAGAACCTTATATGGAGTATTGGTCTTGCCATTTGTTCATCGGGTTCATAAATGTACTTACGTACAGCGCTGTAGGCATCTGATGTCAATTCAGCGTCATTGTGACATCAAAATACAATCTTCAACATCAAAGTGATGTCAAATTGATGTCACGTGCCCGCTGGGAAAATTTGTTTAACATTTCAATTCAACAGAGTTGTCAAAAGTACTGACGTTCATGAATGAGGTAGAAGTATAGATATTAGCACTTAAACTTAAAAGATAAAAGTTATAAGTAGGACAAGGATGAAAAGATGGATTGAGCAGATGTCAAGTTTTTTATTCTGTGTATGTGTATGTGTCCTGATAGTCTAAGCATGATTTTCTGATTAAGCTTGCATTCAAGCAATAATAATCAGATGAATCCATATGATGGCTACCAGGAGTTCAGTATTGTGATGGTGCAAAACTCCAACTTGAAATCCGTGTCATCACTAACCTTTATTGGTAGCTTACCGGCAGTGCTAGACGTCTGCACTAGTTTGACTGTAGTGAGTTATCATTGATTTGTTGATTTGCATCACGTGGAGGTGTGCCATGTGCTGCGTACAAAACAATTGCCAATCGGAATGTTATATGTTTGTTATAATCAATGTTATAATGTTCTATGTTCGTACTTCTCATCCAATCACAAAGTCATTCCATATATCGTAGCATGATTTATTCGGATTGGCGTTTTGAACAACAACTGGAATGAACACACTCCCAAAATGAAATAGTGACAAGGCTTTTGTTGTGTGTCAGGAGTAGAAAGCACAGACATTTGTGTAAAAATGTAAGGAGTAGAAGAAGTACAAAGTACGTGGAAAACTAACTACTCCACTAAAGTATGGACACCCCAAATTTCTATTTAAGTAAGGTAATGAAATATTTTTACTTCGTTACCTGACACCTCAGGAATTTACAAACGACAGTCCTGTAACATTTAAAGCCTGCCTGTCGAGGAGCCTTTCGCTGCCCTGCTGTGTCCCTGCTGCCTCTTCAAAGCTGGCCAGCAAGCAATGCGTATGGCATGGAAACAAAAGCAGCATTATTGCCCGCCCAAATGTGCCATCCAGATGTTCGAGTCGCTGCCAGCGTTGACATCTTAAGTGGAGGAGGCTGCTTCAGGGCCTCATAGTTGTTAATACTAGCCAACTCGAGAGGCAGAGGGACATTTAGGGGTTTACACTCAGAGACCAAAATTTAAATATTGAGACAAAATCTAGTTTAAATATGGTTTAAAACAAATATAATGCTTTTCAAATTATACTTATTGCTCATTTGGCTGAAGCATGTAGAGACCACCGTTACAGCAATCCATCCCTTTTCTGCACCGCTTACTCTGTTCAGGGAGCTGGATCCGAACCCATCTGACTTCAGGCAAAAGGCAGACTACACTAGTCGGCAGTAGATTGTGGGCACATGGACAGAGATACACAACCATTTGCTCTCATATGAACACCATCACTGAGAGAGGAACCTAAAGCGTTTCTACCGTCTTCGTTATTAATTGATCCCAAAAACTAGTAAAAATCTACGTTTTATTGACGGCCATGGAAATACACTGGAATTTTTATTTTATTTTTGTGGAGAGGAAACATTTCTAATTTCCCCTAGAAAAAAAAAAACTTTTTTTTTTTCCTTTTTTTTCTCAAATTAATGAAAGGGCCACTCAGAGTGTGGTTGCCAATGCAAGCCGCGACCCTTCAGTTGCCCATCCTCGCCATAGCTACTGACTGCCACCTAAGCATCAAGTAAACGGGGAACAGTTTCCCATGGCATCCTTATCTTTTGGTCATGCGCTGTTGCATTCTCACAGGCTAGGAATGTATACTCGGTACGTTATCAGCGCTGACTCTTTAAGATCAAGGCCCGTTTTTGGTTACAGTCTTTGCCATGCGCTCCATTGTTTACTCCTTGAATGGGACATTCTAATTCTCTGGTGGCATCTTTGTAGAGGAGAACTGTTCTTATCTTGTTCGCAAAATAAGAGCCTTGCCCTTTGAGCGCAGTGATTGTGGTTGTCAGTGGTACGCAAATGCAAGTCCATGTTGATTCCAATTCAATTTGATACATTTCTGTATGAATATGAAAGAAAGTGTGGAACCACAAATGGAAAGCGAAACAGAAAGCGCTGCTGCATTTTCATTTCACAAAATGAATTAACTATTTATTCTTCAGAAATTTGAGCATTTCGACAGTGGACGCTTCAGTGCTGCCAAGTGGCTATTCAGTGGGTCACGACAGCCATTCTGAAGTTTGTGAAGTTCTTGGTATGCAGACATCCTTTAATGACTCCACCAGACTGGCGAACTTCACTCCTTCAAGTTTCCACCAATCTGTGCTGCAGGTTAAAAATAAAAGTTGCTGTTCAAAAGTTTCTCCCTGTGAGGATTTGCTTTTTTTTTCTGACAGCCTCTTTCGGCAGTGAAATAATAAACTTGCTTCCAATTAGTAAAATCCAGTCTGCTTCTATTGCATCAATACCAGACTGCAAAGCATAACAATCCATGTGACCCTACCATGTTCAGATTCTTCTCGCTTGGAGCTTTTGACGACAGCATGGATATTGAACCACATTTTTCTTTTTTTTCACCAACTCACAAAGGAACTGTTTCTGACTATAAAGTGTAAACCACGCTTGCACCACAGGAAGTGCAAATGGATTGAAAGCTTTAGCATTGAAACACGCCTACAAGCATGGAAGAAACGGCCCATTGTTTAAAACTTTCAGCTGTATGACGTACTCTTCGGTGTGTCAGAAGTGCTCCACAAACATTCCAATTAACCATAATAACCCTCTCAAAGTCAAACCGAACCAAGGCTGTATTTAGCTCTTCAATGAGCTGCAGACCTCTTTTGTGAGGTTACTATTTTATTTGGTTCACTTGGGGCAACACAGCCTTCGTCCCAAATTAATCTCACTCCAGGTTGTTTTGTTCAATTGATAATACTGTATTTTCGCGACGATAGGGTTCACTTGGAAGTCTTAAATTTTCTCCAAAATGGATGGAGTGCTTAAGAATGCGTGTGTATGCACCAAGTTCCAAAATTTGGGAATGCTGATGTCTGACTGCGATGAGGGGCCCGCTTGACTGACTGATCTTGTGGCAACACGCTTGTTATATGGAGGAAAGGCGGACGTAACTGAGGACAGCATGTGAACGTTGAAGGGGGAAGGCTGGGCGTGGAAGAGGACACTAAAGGCACGACCCCAGTCGCTGTATATACTGTAAGTGTATATAGCATATAGCCTGCCTCGTTTGGCTTCCATGACCAACGGTTCTTTCAACAAATCCCTAGTTTACCCGCTTGGTTTGCGGCAAGCGATGAGGGACAAGAATACTTTACATTTTGAAATACAACAAAAAGATTGCTGACAAATACATCCAGGCCACACACATACTAAGACTGGGAGGCAGCATTGGGCGAGTTACGCCCCAATTTGTGAATGGATTGTGGACGCTTTGGATAACATGCCCGCTTGCACTGTTGTTCGAGCTTTCGCAAAATCCGGCATCATTTCAGAGAAGCTGCACGGCAACGAGACTGACTCTGACAATGACAACAGGGAACCTGGCGTGTTTAATGGAGAACCTGCCCAGTTGTTCATTTCGGATACAGAAGATGAGGACTTTGATGGATTTGTGAATGAGGATTGATAGAAAAAAATAAAGTGAGTACATTGTTGAATACTTCAATAAAGTACAACCAAACTCAGTTTTGCTCCCTCTGCCTTTTTAAAAACATATGCTAGTGTGCGTGCATGCTATCATATTTTTTAAGCTAGCGTACATTTTACCATGCCTGCGTCCACTAATGCAGTGCGTCTTGTGTCTGTGTTAAATACAGAAATCACACCCATAACTGACACTGCGCCTCTTAATAAGGTGCGCCGTTTGGATGTGAAAATGTGGTACCTCAGTGATAGAGCGGCAGTTATTTTAACTGTACACTTGCCGGGTCATTTTGTGATTGCTTTATTTTCTGTAAATCCCTAGAAGAGGCAGTGCAAGTATTAAGCTTTTTCACTCAAGTCTTCTTCAGAGTTTCAGCACCATGTAAGCCACAATGAAACGCCCACCCCAGCATATGGTTGGTTGTTTACAGAAATCACCGTTTCTCTAGCCAACTCGACCTGGAGGTTCGTCACTGGCAAAAAGACAACACACACCTCTCTGCTCTCAGGGGAATTCATCTTGAGTCAACAGAACATTTGCTCACGAGGGTTTACATGTTTGCTGCGGCTGATCGTATCAAAGGATTTTAAGTCCTATTCAATCTCATGAAATGCTTCTCTGGCTTGGATGAGCTGCACAAATCAGCGAGTGGGCATCTCCCCAGACTGTGGCTTGGAAAAGCTAGAGGAGTGGAGTGTGCAGAGTTTAAGATGGCTCTCTGCCCTGCAGAGCTCTGCTCTGATTGTCAGGTTTTCTGTTATGGTTATGAATCTAAATTTCATGTGTCTGTACCTAAGGGAGTGTTTAAATGCTCATGCATGTCAATGATTGTAAATCAGCTGAGTTTAATTTTTAGGGTTACAGAAATTTGAGAAAAACCTTTAACTGGGTTTTGCTGTGTTGCCTAAACCCGTCTCATTTAATCTGTCAACATGGCAATCATTTTTATTTTTGTTTATTTTTGTTTTTTGTCTTCGCTCCTTCCCTCCCAATTCTAATCCCTGAAGGCTACTTTGCATCAAGGCCTTAATGGGAAAGAGGTTCATAAAGCTGTTCCAGTGTTTTAGGCGCCTGCAGGAAAAATATTGAATGTGACCTTTTTTGCTGTTCCCTGCATCCCTCCGCTCTTTTATGCCTGATTTATTTGAAGTGTAAATTCGGGACAAAAACAGAATGCAGCCAGTGTAAAATGATCAAAGCCTCACCATAGAATAAAATGGTCTTACATAGATACACACTCACTGTTGTATAAATCATGTGACCCATGGTTGCATCAAATTAGTTCAGACATCTTAATAAAATATTTTATATATTTTACATGTATATACATATATTTAGTGTGTGTGTGTGTGTGTGTGTGTGTGTGTGTGTGTGTGTGTGTGTGTAAAACATTACAATAACAATAACCCACAAACAACTTTAAGATGTGCTACCGCGGCATGGTATTGAATTCAGACAAAAGACTGTTGGAAATAAATGTATGCAATATTTTACACATTTATACTTGTATTGATAATGATGGTGTTTGTATGTGTGTGTTTGTCTGTCCATCTGGCTATCTATGTATGTGTCGTGATGTTGGTGGAGTAATTGACAAAGGGTAGTTGAACAAGGGGGCACTGGTATAGCTTTATGGAGCCTTTAATTCTCTCAGAGTACAACGTCCTTGACGGGGAGTCCCTCACGCTAGATGAGTGTTTCATGCGTCACATTATGTTTGAAACTGACCTTCATGTGACGCAGGCATTGTTATAAAGCTGAGAGATTAGTTATATAGTTATACGCGGAGGTGGGTAATGTGCCCAAAATTTGTATTCAAGTAAGGGTCATGTTACACTGAAATAATTTGACTCAAGAAAAAATAAAAAGTGTTTCTCCAAATAATTACTTAAGTAAGAGTAAGAATTGAGTAAAAAAAAACCTCAAGTACTGCGTAACCGATGAGTAAAATAACTTCTTTTTTTTTAATCCGGATCTGAGCATTAATAGACTACAGTACAAAATGGGTATATGAAGACTTAGATATAAGTGAAACAGTCACGTGACAGCATCCAAGGCACAAGTTTCTCTCTCTGACAAACCAAAACAAATATATAATACAGTAAGTATTCCCACCTACGGACTTCTGTCAAAGGGAAATTCCCTCACCCGGAATAAAAACCTATGCATTGAAATTTTGACGACGATATTACATTAACGAACGATTCAAAACAACGGAAGTTCCAGTAACCGGAACCCGGAAGCCATACTGAAGCCTGCAGTAGCGCAAACTCAAGCAAGTTCCACTTGATACCACGGAATAACTGTGTCTGCACCACTATTTACTCTCATTGGATCCAAAACGGCGACATGTAAGTGACTCTATTGGCATGCGTTTTACTGGAATCGCGAACGATTTTCTATTTCATTTACATTTCACATTTATGTCCTGTAGATCATGGTAATGACCGTGGAAGAGAGTGGAATGCATCCGATTCGCTGCTCAGAGTAAATTGATTGTGGCTCGACAGACAGTCGAGTAAACTAACGTTTCCTGGAATGCTTTACCTGTTATCATGCTTAAAACCTTCCTCTAACCGGACCGCTAATCAGAGAGAAGGCGAGTTCCATCGCGCTAACTATGGGCATAGAGGACTTCAAAGCGTCCTGTGGCTTGCTTCAAAAGTCCGTTACACGACATCGGCTGAGCAACGATGTCTTGTATGGTGATCGAGGAGAGGTAAAGTTAGAGACAGTGAGTGGGTGGAAAGAAAAACTACCAGGTCTGTTACTAGTCTCAGTTTGTAGCAAATAGTCCTAATTTTGTGACGCGTCTTGTTACACTGTATTTTGTTCATATACCTGTACTGTATGCTGCAGTTTTTGTGTTATAAACAGTTTTTGGACCATCTATTTTTGTATTTTATTGCTTGTGTTGTTACACATGTATTTTGTTAACATACTTGCATGTTCATAAAGGACATGTACCATAGTCGGTTCCCACATAAGGAACTTCTGGTATAAGGAAAGATTAGACAATGCAAATATGATTCCTTACTAGAGAATATTTACCAGTATTTTAAAAAAAGAGAGAGTAGCAAGCTGAATATAGCTCAATGTAAAGGGGTCAAATAGTGTTTATTCTTTAAAAATAAATAAAAAACTAAAAGTAACAACTACTCTGACTCGTCCCTGTAGGAATCTGCAGACATAAAGGGTTGATTCCATTGAGAATGATTTTTGATTCTACAACTTGAAAGTTGATTTTTAAATGCTGACGTAAGTGCAATCAGTAAAAACTACAGATTGCAGTTTCTTTTCTTACTTTCAACATACAGTAACACGAATCAGTATAAGCCAGTTGCACCCTGTACAAAAGAGCTTGACTCAATCCTTGTGCTAATCTTTCGGATGTGATTTTGCTCTCTCAGAAGCAGTGCTGTTTACTAGTTTTGCCAGATTTGGAGGACGTTTTTGGAGAAATCTATCTGTCATTGCTATTTCTCCCTCTACAGGCTTGTCAGGCTCTCAGTACAGTATTTGAAAAAGACGGTCATTTCCGTTTAATTCAGTAACCAGCAGAGCCAGCTGTGAGTTTTGCATCCTGTTTATCTGATCGCGACATCTAGCTGCCGCGATGAAAACTCTATGTAAATATAATATCCTGCACCTCGCCCTATATTCCGCAGACTGCTTTGATACACAGTACAATTATCCAAAAAGTGACCATCCTTTGGGTGTGCAGTACTTGCTCACATCCAAGCTTGTGCGTGTTGTGATGAGCAGAAGAGATTAATTAGAAAGAACAGCTGCATCAAAAACAAAAGCCTTTGTCACTTCCTTGCATTGTGATCCCCTCTGGCTCTACCTTCCTGTTTTGCAGCAAAACATTTCATGCCGCGTCATTTGCTCTGTTATGTCACACACTTAATTTTCCTCCTCTGTCTTCATGGCTTCCTAGTTTTACTTACCAAAGCGGGATCTGGGCCTGGGAATGTCTACTCGCACTATTTTCCTGCTTCTCAGTCGGCACGACGTACAGTGCCTCTTAAGTTCAAAACAATTCTGAGGGCCAGATGGTCTTGGCATGACTAATGAAAGAGATGATTGAACTCAATATTTTCACAATGAGCAACTATTAGTAGCCTGATGACGAACAGTACCAAATAACAACAGTTTGAGTCCAACTTTAAGGGAAGGGATCCTTGAGCACATCCTCACTGTCTGTTTCCTTTTTCCTCTTGTGCCCCCCCCCCTCACCCAAGAAGCAGCCAGAAAGGCTTCAGCTGCCCTTGCGCATCTGATGTCTTCAAGAATGTCGGATCCAACATATCACAGGAAGTCTCATCACTTTTGACCCACAATGGAGCTCAAGGTATGGGTGGATGGAGTTCAAAGGGTCGTGTGTGGGGTTACTGAAGCCACAACCTGCCAGGAAGTGGTGATTGCTCTGGCTCAGGCGATAGGTAAGGCAAGCTTTGCAATAAATCTGAATTTTCTCATCATGCTTGTGTGATTTTGTTTCAGATTTTCCAGAACATTCTCTTTATTAATCACTAGTTGATGTCTCACGATCTATAGCAACAGTAGCCCCTAAAAAAAAGACCAGTGTTAGTAAATTACTTGTCGCTGAATAACATGTTGGCATCGGACAACGGCTAATATGGTTTTGTTGCCCAAGACCAATTCATAGAAAATTAACTACTTTCGTTCAGTATGAAAGACAAAGGTATACTGTATTGAAAGTACAGAAAAAGTTTATTATGAAACACTCATTTATTTGTCATCTAAGAAACAAAAACACATTTCTTTGTCGATCTACCCTCACATGACGTTCCTGCTTATTGTCAATTTCTTACAAACTACCCCCAATCCCCATATGGCTCTGTGAGGAATAGAAGTGCTTGAGCAGACTGTATTGACATCACTTCCCACAAATACAGGGTTGGAGGAGGGAAAGTATGACTCATCCTTTTCTCCCCTGCCAAGCTGACAAAGCAGAGCCCCCTCCTCTGCCTTTTCCTTTTCTTTTAACACAAATGCTGTGTGATGTGGTGTTGAGCAGTGCTGATTTTCCAGCCTAAATTTTGTCCAGGTGATGACAAAAAATTGAAAGCACATCTTGAAACTCACTTTTCTATTGTGCATATCTTGAAAGCATGTCTCTATTGTGTTACTGGCAGGTCGGACTGGAAGATACACTCTGGTCGAAAAATGGCGGGACACAGAGCGTCATCTAGCCCCTCATGAGAGCCCAGTTGCCTCTCTTAATACTTGGGGTCAATATGCAGGTGATGTCCAGCTGATTTTACTTCGCACAGGCCCTTCCCTGACTGAACGGCCCCCTTCAGAAGGGCCCCCTCTGAGGGGGCCTGAACGCGGCTTTCACCGACAGAGCCTCCCCCCACTCGCAAAGCTTCACCATCCCAATGAGCGCTCCCTCTGTCGCCGTGAGCCTCGGCGCAAGTCCCTCACTTTTACAGGAGCGCCCCGAGGTCTAAGGGAGATACTGAGCGGTGGGCGGACAAGTGAAACTGAAGCTAAAAGGAGACTTCATCTAGGAAATGTTGGGACTTACCATCATGCAGGAGGAGCCGCTGGGAGTGCATCCCAGGGCCTGTGGGCATGTCGCATGGAGGACCTGGTTCGACTGGTGGGCATTCAGAGAGAAACGCTTAGTGTGCTGGAGAAGAAACTGGAGGTTTATGAAGCTGAGCTCAAAGCTTGGGCTGACGTGCGAGCAGGACGAACTCCAGTCTGTAGCGAGGACTCGGGTGGGGGTCTGTTTGAGGAGATTATGAGACTGGAGAAGCATCTGAAGAAAACTGAGGTGGAGATGGAGGAGGAGGAGTTTTGGACAACTGAGCTACAGATTGAGCTGGAGAGTGAAAGGCAGCTGGAGGAAAGGCTGGAAGAGCTGCGTGGTCGTCTACAAGGATGCGAAAAGGAGATTGAAGAGAAGCTGGCAATGGTGCAGGTGTGTTTTGTTGAACTTGAACAGCAAACAAATAACCAATGAATGAAACAACGGCATTTTGTGACTTTTACAGTATGTTCAAGTCTTGAGTTCTACACTTGAAATGTTTTCTGTTCCATTAGGGCATAGAAACTGGATTGGAGGAGATGCGTCTGCAGAGAGAGCGTCAGGAGACCGAGTGGCTCAATGAGGCAGAGGCTCGAGCTCAGGTTCTCCTAGTCAAAGCAGAACTGAAAGCACAAGAGAGACAAGCTGTCCAGATGGAGAGCAGCTGCAGAAATGTGGACAGGTCACTGGGACAAAGCAGCAAGCAGCTACAGGTGAGACAATATATGTGCCCTTGAGTATTATACTGTATGCCTGACAAAGTAAATGATTCATCCATCTGTGATTTTTCAAGGTCATGAAAGGCACGCAATGAGCTAATTTCCACATCGGTGTAAGGTTACGTTTTCATGCGGCACGAAAAGGATGCTCAGTTACCATCCTACTTGCTGTTTTTATTTTATTGTTTTATTGATATTAATGGCATACAAGTGTTTTTCAGGCATACTTTTTTTTCGATATATGAGGCCAATTGTTTTGCTTTGACTTGGAAGAGCAAACTTCAGACGAGCGCTGTATGGTGGCAGTAAACTCAACTCAACTCAGCTCACCTCACAATAAGCAGCAATATGGCAAATAGTGAACAATTCATTAAATAAGAGGCTTCAAGACCTTTAATGCTACTTCCAGTTTAAGTTTATTGTCAAACTAAACGTGAGACGAAGCAGTGATGAAAGTCCTCTGGATTTTCCCGGAATTCCGGATTTTCAAATTTTCATGAAAATTTCTCCGGAAAACTGAGGAAAAATTGCCTAAAATTAATCCGGATATCAGTTGACAACATTGAACGAACACGCGTTTGAATTGGTTGTTTTGCTTTTACGATTGTAGCCATGTTGAGGCACTAACACTAGTAAAAGAAAATAGATTTTCGTCTCTTTATAAACACACTTGCTAAACCCCAGTGGAACGAATAAAAGACGCCGTAGACAAGACAGTTGTTGTCGTAATAAATATATTTGGACAAAAAGGGAAACGCACAGATTGGCAGAAAAACGTGTCCGTCCGACTTCGAGCGTCGTGTCGTCTCGGCTAGCTTAGCTTAGCTGTTGTCGTATGTCGTGTGTGACATCGGTTGCCTTGGCGCTGATTGGTTGAAATCAAAAGACGCGCGCGTACGTACATGTTCGCGCTGACGCACGCACAGCAGAAAGCAGCGGACTATCGACTGCTGAGGCGCGCTTTGCTCAAGTGGCATCGCCACAACACTAACTCCCTCGCCTCGCATTCTCATGGCCTCGCCATATCTCGGAGATTTCGAAATTTCGGCTCCCAATGTTGTTTTTTCCATGGAAATAGGGACGAAATGGATTTTGAATGTGTCCCTGAAAGAGACTTACCGTCTTCGTTTGCATCTGCATTATACTGCCCGCTAGTGGCCAAGGCAGGCAGCACAATGAATTGATTGCAGCTTTAGGTCAAGTCAGCTTTATTATCAAATATGCTCCACTGTATGTGCAACATACAGCACAGATGAAATTTCTTTCCTCTCAACCACAGTGCAAACATGCAGTGCATTGAAAACACACACAGCTAAAAAATAAGGACAGCGAAATTGAATTGCATAAAAAGACATAAAGACAAATAAATATGTCATGACGCACAAACTATCAAATGCCTTACAATGTATTTAATTGTGTTATTAATTCGTTTTAATATTATAATATATTATATAGCAGAACAGGTTTTATGATTTTTTTTTTTTTTTTTTTTTTTTTTTTTTTTTTTAAAAAAGTTTTTCACACCCCCCCCCAATT